TAGAAAATGAAAAAATTAATTACAATAGATACTAAAGTAATTATTCAAAAGAAAAGGGAGTTCAAAACAAAAATGAAAAGAGTTAAAAGCCAATTAAAATCTCTTAAAAAGGAATAAAAACAACCTTATTGAGTTGAAAAATTAGAAAAGAAAGTTATTGAAAAATCACCTTGAAAGTTAATGTCTATAAATTATTACAAGCATCAAAACAAACAAAAAAAAGTAAAAGACGAAAAATAAAAATAAAAAGGAAAAAAATTAACATAGCTTGATGATTAATTTTAGGGTTTATTTCACTTTTACCTCTCTAAACTGTCATTATTATTTTTATTTCATCCATAATCTATTATTTTCGCCTATCAATTCATTAAAAATAAAATAAAATTTTATTTCGGTTCATGTGGTCTAATTAGAGACGATTATATAATTTTATTACTGTTGAAACCTAATTTAATAGACAAAATATATTTTCAAATTCAAACAATTTAAACTATACAATAAAACATTATTATTTTTTTTAATCATTTTGACCAAATTACACACCACAACTAATTTAATGGGTGTTTGCTTATATGATTTAAATCATCCACTCATTTCATATGATGGGAGTTGCATGTGTATTGGAAGCAACTTTGCTATATGCTTTTCATGGTGTTACTGTAAAAAATACTTTATTTGAAGATAGTAATGATGCAAATATATATTATGTATTTTTTTCATCAAAATAGGTGTTAATAGTAATTGATTTGTACAATCATCTTTAATTAGATTACCTAAACAAAAATTAAACATTTCAAAAATTAAATAAACAAAATTGATAGTGTACAGATAAACAAAATTGATGGTTTACGGAAAAAAAAAGAGGGGCGAAGCTCCATTGAATCATAAAATATGATTTTGTGAATTGTTTATTCATTTTTTCCTTTTTCTTTTTATGAATCCAAAGGTCTCATTAAAGTAGAAATTATACAAAATGGTAGTCACTTACATGTTTTGATTTAATTTTTTAGGAATAAAAGTTGGTTTCTCTAAATGTAAAATTACACATTTGGACAATTCATACTATAGAAGTTTTGAATTTTCCCTCTTTCTATAACAAATCTCACATTACGAATAAAAATGTAACACTTCAATATAACATTCTAATAACATAACATTCCAACATAAAACACTAACAAACTCCTTGGTATACTTTTTTTAAACAACACAACACTCTAAAAAAACTTCTTAGTGTACTTTTCCCAAACGTAATACTTTAATGTAACACACACACACACAAAAAAAATCCTTAGTGTACTATTCCTAAATGTAACACTCCAATCAATGTAATCCTAAACGTAATACTCCAATGTAACGCACACAAAAAATTAAAAACTCCTTAATGTATTTTTTTAAACGTCACAGTTTGAAATTATACATTTACTAAAATTTATTAAGGAATTTTTATACTCCTTTTGGAATAGTTTAAAGAATCCTACATTCTTTTGGAATGTTTTGAAGAGTCCCACATCGTTTTTTTAGAGTGTTATGCTTGGAAAAAATAAAGAATTTTTTTTATATGTTACATTGGAGTGTTATAGTAATGAGTTTTTTAGAGGATCATATTAGAGTGGGAAAGTTTTTTAGAGCTCTAATTATAGAGCGCTAATTACAACTATAATGAGCTGGCAGTGGGTCCCAACCACTGATGATGTGATGCATATATCTTGTTTTTTTTTGTTTTTGCTTCTTACAACATTAGTGGAGCTCTGTATAGAGCTCCACCATTAGAGCTCTAAATCATGATTGATTAGAATGTTAATACACTAAGAATTTTTATTTTTTTTTTGAGTGTTACGTTTGAGTGTTATATTAGAGTGTTACAATTTGAAATTATACATAGTTTACTAAGGAGTTTTTGTACTCATTTTAAAATATTTGAAGAATCCCACATCCTTTTGAAATTTTTGAAGAATTCCATATTTCAAGTCATTTTTGTACTCTTTTTAAAATACTTTTAAAATAAAAAAGATTCCTATATGAAAATTCATCCCAAATTTGATTCTCATAAATTATGTACTTTACCTTTCTTGCACAAAAAAGAAAAAAAGAAAAAAAGAAAAGAAATATAATAGAAATAAGGGTATAACTATAAATTCAATTTCTAAATAATATATTAAATCTACATATCTAAAATCAATTAGATTAATTGGTCTATAAAAAAATTCTTTGGACTAAATAGATCATCATTCCTTAATATGAGATTTATAGGTAAATTTTCAAAAAAAGGGAGGTGAAATTAACCATTAATTTTAAATCTAAAATAGTAGTTGTTTAAGGTTGTTTGGTGGAACTTTTCTTAAATTAAAAGCTGATAATCAAAAAATAGAAATTAAAAGTTCATTTCCCTAACTTTTAATTAATCAAAAAAATTTTAACTTATTTAAGCTATATTTGCTTAATAAACTATGAGTAGAAGCTATACTAAACAATATGGCACATACTCTCAAATTAAAATAAGCTATAATTATCTTTTAAAAGCTATACCAAACAGTCCCTTCATTTGGCGTGAATTATTTCGGCTAAATTAGTCAATAAAAACAAAACAGACTAGGGATTGTTTGAGATGAACTATATAAGTGCACTATTTGACTTTTTGGATAAAAAAGTAGAGGAAAAAAAAATGATTGTTTGGGATAACTTTTTGATTTTTTACGAAAAAATATCTATTACAATATTATATAAAATAGCAAAATTATTTTTTTACCTATCTAAGTACTGGCATGCATGTACAGCTATTAAGCTTTGTGTGCAAGCTTGTAAGCTTTGTGTGTAGCGGTGTAAAAATGGGCCGAGGCCCGTGGGCAGCCCAAAGCCCGAGGTGGGCCTGGGTCTGGGCCTTCCATTTAGGACCCGGCCCATTAGCCCGTCACGTTGGCCTAGCTAGGCCAAAAAAAATTCAAGAGCTGCGTCCGGCTCAGCCCACCCGTCCAGCTCTTTCTCTACTAATGGTCAATTTTCAAAAAATAAAAATAAAAACAACTTGTTATGATTAAATAATTAAAAAAATAAAATAAATAAAAAGATTGATCTTATCAAAATAAATAATTAAAATAATTAAATAAAAATTAATCTTGTAAAAATAAAAATTTATATAATTAAATAAATAATATTAATAATTTAAAAACAAAACAAAAAATAATAATAATTTACTAAATTAAAATCAAACTAATATTAAGCTTGCTTGGTTAGGTTTTTCAAAAAACACTTTTCAGAAAATTCTACTTTCTTGTTTTCCGTATTTTTTTGTTTTTGCTAAATTTTTTAAATATTTTAAGCAAAATTTTTTTTTTTACTTTTTAGACATAGCTAACATAAATATACCTAAAAAGTAAAAAAATTGTGAAAAAAACCTTTTAAAAATTCACTAAATACCAAAAATATAAATTTAAAAAAAATGAGAATTTAGTATATTTTTTGTATTTTTATGTATTTTTTAATTGTTTAAAATATATTTTCACAAATTTTTACTTTTTAGATACATCTAAGTAAGGTGCATCTAAAAAATTTTAAAAATTGTTTAAAATTTTAAAAATTTAAAAATATTCACTAAAAAAAAACACAAAAATCAAAAAACTCAATTTTTAAAAAACTTAATCCAAAAAACTCAAACCAAACACACTAAATGCTGTTTTCCTCTGGGGGAGAGAGAGAGAGAGAAATGGAGTGTTACTATACCATGCTATAAAGCTGAGCATGCATCCTTAGTGTAACCAAGTTCCCTTTTCTTTTTTCATTTGGAAGTAAAATCAAGTGATTCATATTTCAAATACGAGTTCGGATCCTCTCCTTACAACTCCTCTTTGCAATCCTCCATACAACGACTGAGATCAGCCGTTGCACATCCAACGGCCATAATAAATTTTAAAAAAAAAATTCACTTTCCCGCCCTAAACAAAACACAGCCTATACACAGATTTTCGTTTGGAATCAGAAGCACAAAAACACACACTCATTCCTTCTTCTCCATCGAACCCACCCTAGCCGGCAACCCAATACCGACGGCGATCCAGTCTCGACGCCGTTGCAAGGACCGACGACGGTGAAACCAAAGGTTAGTTCCCCTCTGTCTCTGTAATCAGATGTTTGCCGAAATCGTGAAACCAGAGTCATATATATCATCTATTTGAATCAGTTTGACATTCATTTCTGACGCGTAGTGGAGATTGAATTATGCCAGTGATTTCTTATCTTAGATTTTTCTACATAAAGTGAAACCATGCTCTGTCTCTATAAATTTGAGGTTTGCCAAAATCGTGAAACCAGAGCAATGGATGCACAATGATTTTTAATGCAAATGATTTCAGAAATTGAAAAGATAATTTTTATTATGGATGCACAATGAGTATACATACTATTAAAGATATTCTGCATACTATGGATGCACAATGAGTATACATATTATGCATACTATTAAATATAATTTTTATCATGGATGCACAATGAGTATACATACTATAGATGCACAATGAGTATACATAGCTAAGATATTCTGCATATTAAAGATATTCTGCATTAATACATACTTATTCTGCATTAATGTATTATTTGCACTAAAGATATTATGCAGAATAAGTATACATTAATGAGTGTATTATTACATTAATGCACATAATACATTAATTCAGAATGAGTATACATTCAATTATGCAGAGTAATGCAGAATGAGTATACATTAATTATGCTAACACACACTGTCATGTGCATCCATAATTGAATTATGCCAATGCATTATTCTGCATATTAAAGATATTTAATGCAAATGATTTTAGAAATTGAGAAGATAATTTTTAGACTTGCCAAACCCTGTGTATTTATTATTAAAGATATTTAGTTCTGATTTCTTGTTTCTTTATCCAAGTGTGACAGTGAGTTCTTTGATGATAGTGCAGATATTGTGTTTTTTTATATAGCTAAGATTTTATTTATGTAGCTAAGATTTTATTTATATGGGTTTTCAGTTGCATTTTCATATGGATATGGAACTTGAGAATGATTGTGCTTGGAAGCCAAAACAGGGAATGACATTCGATTCGGAACAATGTGTGTATGATTTTTATAATACATATGGAGAAAGAATGGGGTTTGGCATAAGAAGGGATTTTTGTAGAAAGAACAAGTTCACTAACCAACTTATTTGTAGACTTTTGGTTTGCAACAAAGAGGGATTTCAGAAGGTTGACAAACGAGACCCATTGGCAAAAAACCCTAGAGTTGAAACTAGGACTGGTTGTGAGGCTCGACTTTATGTTAAATTAGATGAGGGTACTGGGAAATTTGTTGTGATCGATTTCAAAGAAAAACACAACCATGATCTTGTATCACCTGAGTGTGCCCACATGTTGCCGTCACAAAAAAAGATATCGACTACCCAGGCAATTGAGTAAGATTTGGCGGCACAATCTGGTCTTCGTTTAGGCCAGTCTTTTGAACTCATGGGTAGGGAAATTGGTGGGAGGCAATGTCTTGGGTTTACAAAATTACATCAAAAAAATTATTTGAGAACCAAAAAGAAACAAAGTTTAGCATATGAAGAAGTAGACAATGTGTTGCAATACTTTAAAGAAAAATCTTTGCAGAATCCTTCATTTTTTTATGCTTTCCAGTTAGATAATGAGGAGCAAATAACAAATATGTTTTGGACCGATGCACAAATGATCATGGATTATACCCAATTTGGTGATGTTGTCACATTTGATACTACTTACAAGTTAAACAAAAAACATAGACCCTTTGCATCTTTTGTGGAATTCAACCATCATAGGGAAACAGTCATATTTGGTACAACCTTGTTGTATGATGAGACCACTGAATCGTTTGTATGGTTGTTTCAAAATTTTCTAGAGGCTATGTCAGGAAAGGCACCAAAAACGTTGTTCACTGATCAAGATGCTGCAATGGCTAAAGCCATACCCATCGTTATACCTAACACAAGTCACCGATTGTGTACTTGGCATTTGATGCAAAATGCATTAAAACATGTTAATTGTTTGTTCCAAGATAAGGGGGTAAAGGGTGTACTAAATAAATTCTTCTTTGACATTGAAGATGCAAATCAATGGAAGTTAGAGTGGGCGAAAATACTTGACAAATATGATGCGCATGAAAACCATTGGTTGAAATTGACTTTTGCGGTGAAAGAAAAATAGGGCTGTGTAGACACCCCATTTTTGACCGACCTTAAGACTCAGACGTCACCAGTTGAGCGCTCAGTGATGTTGCATATTGGCTCATTCTGAGGTTTCGGAGTCTCAGCTGCAAGCCTTGCCTCCGAACTTTGAGGCTCTGTTGTGCTTTGCCTCGGTTTGCGAACCAGGTCCTGTTTTCTCTGTTTTCTCTTCCCGAAGGAAGGGAGAGGTCTCGTAGACCATCTCTCAGTGGCCGTAGGCTACGTTTCATGGTCGTAGGCCATTTTTCTCGTTTGGAGCCCAGTTTCTGGTTTTCAGAGCCGTTGGCCGTGTGCCTCGGTTCAGGACCACTTAACTACCTCTGTCTGCTCTGATTTTTGGCACACACCCTATTTCCTCCATTTAGAGGGACACTGTGGCCTAGGAGACCACCTTCGTGGTCATACGCCTATTTTCGGGGCCTCGGACTGCGCGTTTTGGCCCCCGAACCTTCGTTTTGCATCTGTCTTGGTCCATTTTTGGTGGTGACCCTATTTTCACTATTAGGGGGGGTAGTTTGGTGGCCGGCCACCTTTTCCCCTGAAAAACCATTTTTGGTGGGGACCCTATTTTCACTGGCCGGCCTGCTTCTTGCTTTTGCTCTCTCTAAGTGTAATCCAGCTGTGCCAGCTGGAGGCCATTTGGTGCATCTTCCATACACGTGTATGGAGGATACTTGGGGTCTCTTGGAGATATTTTGAAGCCTCTCCTCTATAAAGGAGAGGCTTGGCTTCATATCTGAGGGTTGAGCAATTTTTGTGAAGGCATATATCCTCCATCCTCCATAGTCACTATTCCAAGCTCCAAAACCCTAGTTTTCTTGGCCTTTTGGCACTACAACCCCTAACACCACACCTCCATCATCCATTCCAGCACTTTGGAACTGATTTGAAAGGGTTGAAGGTTCACCAACTTGGTCCAAAAGCTCCAGCTTTGCTGCTCTTCAAGGGTAAGTGCCTATTTCCCTTAAACTTGCATTTTTTTGCTCCATTGATTAGCCTTACTTGAAAGTATTTCTGGACTTTTTCATAAACTAGAAAGTGTCATATTTTGAGCTCCTCTTGAAGATTGTATAAGGACACTTTTCTGTTTGAGGCCTCCTACACCCTTGCATGCTTTACCCCTCTTTGTAGGCCAATTTTGCATCATATCGTAGTCCTACTTGTGAGCACTTTCGAGATTTTCTATAAACTGTAAAGTGACTTATTTTGAGCCCCTCTTCAACTTTTTTTAAGGGAACTTTACTGTTTGAAGTCATTTACTTCCTTGTTTGTTCAATCTCTCTTTTAGGGCTATTTTTGCATCCTATTTTAGCCTTGTCAGCATTTTCGAGATTTTCTATAAACTGGAAAAAGTCTTTTTTTGACATCCTCTTCAAGTTTGGTTAAGGTCCCATTTATTTTTGGGGTCATCTTCCCCCTATGCATGCTTCATCTCTTCATGATTAAGGCTATGCATTAGAGCACTTGCATTGGCCATAATTTGGCCTCTTAGCCACTAAAATTCAATGGATTTTCAGTGACTTAAATTTTTTTTGAGGGCCAAAATTAGAGGGGGTGACCCCCTCTCTCCTTGTCTTGTTTGGTGGTCTTTTGGGCCTTCCAAAGAGACCCTATTGTGCATGCATTGAAGTCTTGTTTCAGGCCTCATTCTGTGAGTTTTAAGGTCTGCCTTGGCGCTGTCCAAGGCCCTTTTGGCCATATTTTATGTCTACAATGCATGTGTAGAGCAATCCCGTCCAAGGCCTTTCAAAGGAGCCTTTCTTTGCATGTTTCCTAGACCCATTTCAGAGCCAATTTGGTGAGTTTTAGGGTTGTCATATTTGATTTCCAGAGTTGGTTTTGCCATACTAAGTGTCTATCTTGTATGTGCTTAACAACCCCTTGCAAGGCCCTCCAAAGAAGCCCCTCATTTTTTGCATGCATTGACTGCATTTCAGTGATTATTTGCGCATATTTTGGCATATTTTATTCACTATTTTTGGCTGGTTTGATGAGTTCCCATTTTCTTCATATACATGCCATGTAAACCATGTTTGCTAGCCAATGTTGCATGCTATTTTAGTCCATCATGTTAGCATCTTTTGGCCATGCTCTAAACTAGAAATGTGCATGTTTTGAGACTGCCTTAGCTCTGTCTTTTGACTTCATGATCAAATAATGCTTGCTTTGTATACTTGTGGTTCAATACATGTGCCTAGTTTTGAGTTTCGAGGCTTATTCCATGCATCGGGTGCCATATTTCCATGTTTCGGGACCATTTAGCATCATGTTTTAGTGCTGGAAATTACATGTTCATAGGCCATCTTTCATCCCTCGCCATGCTTTGGTAGAATGGCATTTGATGCCTTAGGTTCAGTCCTCGGTATGCATGCATGTGTGCACGCATTTCGGTCGTCTCATTTTCATCTAATGGCTACTGATGTGAGTATGGCTGAGGTCCACTCATATTGGTGTAAGTCCATCGTGCATTGTGTATGCCATTTCAATCCATAGCATTGCGTATACTAGGTTGCATCTTAGAGCATTGTGTATGCCATGTTACATCACGCGCATTGTGTATGCCATTTTAGTACAGAGCATTGCGTATGCTAGGTTGCATGTTAGTCGCATTGTGCATGCCATTCCATTTGCATGGTGCTTGGAATAGAGTTTAGTCCAAGCACGGGAAACGAGGGGCATTTCATACTCCAAGTGACGAAACGTGCCTCGATTCCTGGTCCCCGATGTTCTTGATTATCTATGATAGAATTGTTGGCTTCATATGTTCATACCTGTATTCATGTCATATTAAAACGTGCAATTCGGTCTCTCGGCCATCATGCATCGAGATGCGTGATTGGTGGCTCGAGAACCAAGGGCCACACTCCCTAGAGCTTGTGCAAGGACAGAGAGGAGTGGTCGCGCACACATATGTTGAAAATACATTGCTTTCTCTCTTTCTTGCCTTTGTTGCAGAAAAACCAGAGTCCAGGGGCAGAAAGTGGTCGGCCGACCAGGTTTTCTGGTAAGCCGACCACCTTTTTTGGTTTTCACCATGAGGGGTGGTCGGCAGGTGTTTCCCAAGCCAAGAGCTGGTCGGCAGCCTTCCCCAGGTGGAGTTTCAGCCTCTTGGAGCTTTGTGTAAGTTTCTGAAATCAGCTACAAACAATGGCGGGACAAGGCATCGCGATGGAATTTATCGACAAAGCGCATCGAGCATGCATGCATTCATTGTCATCCAAAACAGAGCCGGGGCAGTCCATTTGCATGCCAGTTTATAGCTTACTTAGCTAATTTGTTAGTTAGTTAGTGGATGTGTAATAATTAGCTGTAATTCGTCATTCATTTCGGACTGTATTATTTATTCGGACCCTCCGAGCGAGGGCTCAATTGTAATAAGTGTGCGTGCGTATGATGTATGTCTTCCAACCCCACGTCTTTCTCCATTTTATTTACCCGCTTATGATGGTTAGATTAGGGCATGTTTCAATTAGCATACTTATGCTTGCATGTTTGCATCATTCATCTGTCTTGCATGCACCGGGCTCGGCGCATCATACTAACTGCATTTGTATCCCAATTCCGAGTTGAATACTTGTTAGCTGTAGCATTTCACATCATATGCCATGTTTAGAATAGCCGAGCCTGCTATAGTTGCATTTTGCATGTGTCGCATTAGGCATTTCTGTATATTTAGGATCATGCATGATTGCTAATCAGCTTCTGTTTTGGCTTGGAGTACTCGGTAAGTGTTTATGCTTTAGCATCCTTGCATACGTGTGAGTGATTTCCATGATAGCATGCTGGCTACCTGCTTATGTGATATAACTGCCTGAATGCCTGTGGGTGAAGGTTGGGTTATTTGAATTGGAACAATTCATCGATTGCGAGTTTTAAGCCCACTTGAGAGTGGCAAATCATCATGTTTTCTAAGCCCACCTGAGGGTGGCAAAATCTGCATTTTTAAGCCTACTTGCGAGTAGCAAACCGCTTTCAAAAACAAACATGAAACATTTTGTTCCAATTCAGGCGATCTAGTCTATACTTGTATGCTGTGCGCATCACATAGTAAATCTAGGCTAATAACCGAAATAAGAACGCATGATGTTTTCAAAACTAGATATCATGGTTAGTAGAGGCCGATCTTTGATCGGGCGAGCGGGGGTACTCACGAAGTGACCTTCCCCAATCGTACCCAAGTTCCCGAGCCAAGACAACTTTGGTGATGACGGACACGTGGCCTTAGGCAACGAGTCAGGGTTTCCTAAATTTCCCCAAAAATAAAATATTTAGGTGGCGACTCTGTATCTAGCAAAGCAGTCCATGTTTGGCACTTCTTTCAAAAAAGTCTGTTTTCAAAAACGATTTGCCGGATTTGGACTCTTTGATGATTCATCGGTCTTGCATTGCACTCTGCGAGATTAGAGACAGGACCGTGACATTTGAGTCCTGAGCTGTAGTGAGCCCATAACGAACAGAACGGGAGTCATCCACCCGGGGCGTTCGGGGACGTCTACAGTTTCTGGTGACTCTGCTGGGGATTTAGAGACCTTGACTCGAACTCATGATATCTTGTTTTGACTACACTTATGTGTTTCTTTGCATTGCATTTGCATTGGTGCGCCTAGGACACCGTGTTTTCCGTATGCTATTCCTGAACGGTTTGCCGGAGGCTCGCTTCGAGAAGCGTGCCATAAGGCTGACTGGTTACGGGCTCTGCCACGACGGGAACACAAACTCCGATTTTACCGGGGCACCCTTTTGACTATTCGACCTAGTGCATATTCGAAATCCATAGTGACCATTCCAAACTAGGACAGGTTGGTTACCCGTTTATAGGTTGTTTGAAACCGCTGCGTGCGTAGTAAGACCCTAGTTCCTGACAAAATAGGGCAGGGAACCCTTACCCCAACATAGGGGTGTTTTGACTCTCACTTGTTTGTTATGTGCTTTTAGAGTGCGTCTCTATACGAATGCATATATCAGTTTACAAGTTTGGGC